CCAAATAATGCTTGCTCTAAATTATCTAAAATCACACTAAATTATTTTAATGATGTCACGATACAGTTGAAATATGCATGGGGAAGTCACATAATGAACATTTTTTATTAAAATAGTATTAGTAGTTAATAGTATTTTAAAAAATGCATATTCACTGAAACATGATGCTGAATATTTATGTAATCTACAAAGGATGAACTTAAAAGCATTGTATTACGTAGTTCAGTTTATTTTCCATCTTTATTTTTAGGTTTACCTATCTATCATTTTAAATTATTTAAACAAGAAAGTGTTTTTGTTCTTCCCTACAGTAATGTGCTTACATGAATCCACAAAAGCAACACAAATATACATGCAGAAGCATGTGTGTCTCGCTTTCAGAGACATGTAAACAGGAGTGTGTTAATCACATGAAAGCAGACTTTAGAAAGTCCTTAATCTGTCATGGCCGTGGTCGTCCATACTGGGCCATTATGAAGGATTAAACTGCAGCAATGGAGTGAGTGGCTCTTGAAGCCTGCTCAGCTTCAAACACCACTTTACAGTAACTTTGCAGGGCTTGGAGTGCAGACCATGTGCACACCAATATATGACCAGCAGTTCTGAATGGTGCATGTTAAATGGGCTTTGAAAATGCCCATTTGAAAAAGATAAAAACACTCCTTCATACCCTCAGCCATTTCACTGCTAAATTCAAAGAGTAAAAGGTAATATCAGCTTAACCTCACAACCATGCTCAGTAAATAGTGCCTTCATTTTAGTAGTACTTAAAGGATGACTACAGTATTTTTCAACCTATTTCCCCATACATTTGTGTCTATCACATTTATGAAACTGGTCCAGGACTAAAGGGATCAAGGGAGTCTGGTGGCTTTGAGGAGAGTCACATAGCGACTGTTTCTGGTTAAACAACAAGGATCTTACTCTTTATAAAAAGGTATATCTCTGCAGGGATCCTTTCCATAATGTTGTCAGACGCTTTGGTGACACTTTGCCCACAATTATTACATTGCAGCACTGTGTACCTGCTGCCGAATGCTGCGCACTCCTATACTGCACCAGTTTAAAAAAAGTCTGTCCCAATTAGTCACATAGACACAAAAACAACAAATTCAACCAATTGCCCCTCTGGGGACAAATAAAGTTCTACTTGACATGACTAAAAAACAACAAAACAACAAAGTGCAGGTGTTATTCATTTATAGATAACACCAAACATTTACTTTGAAAATGCCACGAATATATTTTAAGAGAAACATCAAAGCAGCATAACATGACAGTTTTTTTCAAGAGTCAACTCAGTGAGGTGACACAGAATCACCTGTTGAATGTGACGGAACAGGCTTCATCTTACCTTCTGTGAGCCAGATGTGGAGCGTTTGAGGGAGGTCCGTTTAAAGGTGCTACTCGGGCCCTTGTTGTCCATGTTAAATACTTGGAATTTAAGTAAAACTGACTTAGAAAGGGATCCTTCGTGACTGGCAATGGGTCAGGGTTCAGCAGCAACGTCAACATTAGAAACAGACAGAAAACCACTACACAACCAAGGCATGACAGCAACCCCTGGATTTGCACATGAAAAATTATCAAAGTTTCACATCATTAAAGGTTTCAATGCTTCTCTCTCCTTTCTGCAGCTCACTCCCGACTGACAAGACAGAGATCCCAGCCAGGGATCTAAATCACTCGATGACACACTTGACACATAGACCCTTTTCCTCTGCCGGGCATCCCATAATCAGGCTTAATGCAGCCAGCTCTTACGAAGCCTCAGAGTCTAATGGATAGAGATTTAATAAATGGTTATTGAAGGTAAATCTACTTTGGCACACCACAACCCCAAAAAAGGCTTAGAGAGAGCATGCAAGCTGTGAGGCTAAAGTTAGCCGGCGGAAAGCCAAAGGTTGTCCCACCTGATGAGGTTCAGTGTGTCTGACAGGGAAGACAGGAGTGTCCCAAACAGAAAGGTATGCACAGATAGAGAGTATGATGCAGAGGCAAAAGCCAGAATAAACATATTGCAAACTCTAATGTCAATCTGCTAGAAGCTGGTTCTCTGAGCTGGGAGAAATGCACCAGGAAGATTATCTTTGATTATTTACCTACCTGCTATGTTGCTAAACTCATTCAAAAAGAGCTTTTACAAGGAGAAAAATGCCCTTTAGTCCTATGGCCATAAGAAGAATATAATGCATGGTGGATTTAATCTCTCATTACATTTGATGGAAACATTTTACATGTACTTTTGTTTCACATAAAGTCTCACAATACAGATTTAGAGCAGCTTGGTATTCAGTATTGTTAGGAATTTGACCTGTTATATAACACGAACAACACTGAAGAAAAATAAAACTATTAAGGCTTAATACCACATTGCATTTGACTTGCCTGACAATTAAGAGCAAGTATTTTGCTTTTCATTAACAGAGCTTGGACATGACAAAAAAACAACTATTACCAGTAATGAATTGTATTTCTTTAATGCCGAATTTATCACTTCCAGGCTGACTGAAACCAGTTTTGCAGTGTCATTATAACTCATTATTTCTACTGAATGTTAAGCTGAACAGACATTTGGATGTGTAAGTGCCTCAACTTCTAAATCAAAGCATCTAAGTGTATACGTTTTTATGTAGATTTGGCCTTTTATTTAAAAAATGAAAAATGTCTGATCAAAAGATTCACCTTTTAGTCCAGCTCAGACAGACAAATTAGACATCCAGCCACTCCCTCTACTGGATACTAAGTAGAATAGATATATAGGGAATATAATTCATGTGTTTAAATTTGACAGTGAGCAAGTAGACCTTGTCTAAATCACATCAGTACCAACAATTCCCACAGTAATATTAGAATTTATCATTGAAGCATATAGTGGAAAACACACAGCAGCAGGAAGCATGATAATATATAGCAGCCCATTCAACGGACATTGGCTTTACAATAAAATAAACTGATTAGACAAAAGAGTCATCTCCCTTTCTTTTCCCCTTAAGCAGATTTAAGGTCGGAAAACTCATCTTATTGTACAGTGTCATATGTAGAACAGTTTATTCCAGTATGTTTATACTGAGAAAAACATTCAAACGGAGACTCTTATTTATAGCTACACACCAAGTGGCAATATTCTATATATATTATATCCTTTGCCTCATTTATATTTCCCCCAAATTCACTGTGAGATATGTTGTATATTCGTTACCTTTTGGATATCCTTTAGAATTGAGAATACAGTTCTATGGATGAGAACAAAATTTGGCTGCACAGCCTAAAGTTGTAATGACTGACCCACCAGTGGGTTGTGTTTATGAGGATAAACAAAATCCTCCTATACTGAAATTAAGCACATTGTAGCGAATGAAACTGCAGCAGAGACATGTGTACGTGCAGCAAAGAGATAAGAATTTACACTAATATACAGTATGCAAGTGTCTACTGTGCTGTTGTCAACTTCCATATCAAGGTACAGCCTTACCTGTTTTGGTCAGTGAAGAAAGTTGCATGATTTCCGAGGGTCTTTATCTGAAAATTGTCAGATATTCTTTAAAACAATAAACACTAAAACATTAAGTCTGTAAATGAATTGCATTTTTCTTACTCCATCCCAGCCATGTGTCTCAGTGTTGTCTGTCTCTAAGAATGGATAATGCGTAATTTCTCCTTGTAAGCAGACATAAATGAGCTTTATCATGTGTGGCTTTGCATGTGTCAGTGGAGGAGATTATTTGTCTCCAGAAGAATCTAGAGCGTTGAATGGAGCAGAAGCGAGGAGGAAAACTGATATGAAAATGTGGCCAAAAAACAGATAGGCCTACATAAAACTGATAAAAATGAAGTTAGGAGATAAGCAGACAGAACAGAAAATTTGGAATTAAGTTAATCAACAAGTGTTTCAAAAAGCTCAAATGCAATTAACATAATAAAAAATTAAGTTTTTTTAATTCTGACACACAGAACTTACTCTTTTCATAATTGGAACAACTTAACAACAACTTAAAAGTCTGTTTAATAATATATTTTCTACAATCTACCATAAATAATACAATTGCAGTAATAGATGTATATGTGCAATATATGTTTTATTGTTTTATTCTGCGGTTTTATTACTTTTACTGATCAATTGGCTCTATTGTTTAACATGTTAATATTGGCTTTTAAAAAATATATATTTAATATATTATATGTATATATATCCTATATATATTGATGATTGTAAGGAACCTGCTGACTATGTCTGGAGAAGAATGTTCTGTAATACAGCCCAAGAAAATTAAAAGTATATCATATTATATCTTTTCAATTCAATTCTTAATTCAATGAGCCATACTTGTTTTTTAGTTTGATTATATTGCTGTAAATGTGGTTTGGATTTTTATTATTTTGGTTTTATAGGTTGGAGAAACTGTCAAGAGACAGCTAGATTTTTAAAGTATCCCACTAAAAAAATTCCTCCCCATCCTTTTAAGGCCTCCCAAAAAACACATTTTCATGTGCAGTGAGTGCACAGGGAGATGTTATCATTTTTGTGTCACAGCATTTGATTTATTGATTGCTGTGAGGGATGTAAAGAGAATTTCAACAAATATAACAAACAATAGGCAAAACAGCCACCAGAGGCAATTCAGCGTTTGCTATCTTGCCCAAGGACACTTCAACATGCAGCCTAGAGAAGCCAGGGATTGAACCGCTGACCTTCCAAATCAGAGGTAACCCACACTACCTCCTGACCCTGAACCCCTGACTCTTTGATGCCATCTTTGTGTGTACAGGTGTCCTTTGAGCAGAGAATTCCTAACTTCTACCATAAGAGGGCGCTCTGAGCTCTTGTATGGCCACAGCTTTATGCTTGTCAATGACCATGGGGTCAGAGAGTGGTTGTATGAAACACTCTGTGCTTACTATCAGGTTGTCTCAGAGGTCACTTGTATGTCATATCCATCAGCACAGTCAGAACCATGAGCAGAAATCTGAACACTTGACACAAACAGAGAAGGTGCTCTGGTTTTCTTTTACTTCACGTTTTATTTGAGACTCCTGCTTTGCGTCAAGCTCAAATCACCTTCACTTCTTTTACCTGATCATTTGTAAATGTTTTGTGTGACTAATGTCCTCACTTATGCAAGATGGGATGAGGCAACAGCTGGAAAGCAGGTTAGGTAGAAACGACTTCCACATGTGATCCTCTGGAAGGAGGCGCCATTCAAGAAAGAGGACATATTTCACTTAGTGTACTTCTGTGCTGTGGAAGTCCCTCTTTGTTCCTGTGAACTGGTTACAGGCACCACCACTGCTAAGGAAACCAAAACACTTAAATTAACAAAACACAAGTCCTGCAGAAACATGCGGGTGAAAAATGCCAAACAAAGGCACTTGCGTCTGCTTTTGTTTGTGTGCTGGTTTTTATCAACGCGATCTGCAGTGACCAACAGTAACAAAAAAATAAAAGTTATGTGTTTTTGACGCAGCCAATGTTTTCTCCTGGTTGCTAAGGAAAGAGACTACACCCTCACCTAAGACCTTGGTGCTTCAGGTGTGTTCAGTCCCTCATTACTGTGGAGGAGAGCAAACACACACAGCTGATAACATGCACACAATTGGACAAGTAGATAAAATAACACTGCGTTACATGTGTAGAGGGAGATAACATAACACAGGGAATATGTGTGAGTGCTGACATTTCACCTCTCTCAACAGACCAAAAACACAGTGCCTGAACGTAAGGGCAGGAAATGGTCTTTAGTGGTTTGTTGTGAGTGGGTCATGTTAGGACATGTTCCCTCTGCATGTCCATGGATGCACCTTGAGTCCTTACATAGTAACCACTTATTAGGCATGAAAAAAGTAGATTTATATGTCTTAAACTCAACAAAAGGACACATTGGTGTTGATCCGATTCATGGATATCAATCAAAAACAGTTTAACTTTGAATTATAAGCAACTGATGTTGCTACCATGTAGCTGTGGTACTTCTACTCCACTACATTTCAGAGGGTATAATGCACTCCACTTTTCAAATTAATATTTTACATAAAAAACATATGATAGGACTAAAGTACCTATCTGTGTAGTAGTTGAAACTAGTTCTACCTTGACCAGCTACAACAGTGAAATGCTAATTACACATGGATGCATCGGTATTAACAATCAAATAATGTCAAAGTTAATAACATATCAGTCACAGGGGCAATATTTCTGCAAAATTAGCATTTGTACTTTTGATACTTTACATACATTTTGCTGATAATACTGCCTTACCTTTACCTAGATAGAAATACCACAGCATATTGTTTTCTTTTCCACAGTACATATTACATACCTGCTCACTGTTGATACTGTACACAACATAACCAGACTTATTCTACAATGCATACTATTTCAGTTCTGTCCATTCAATGCCTGGGGCTCAAGAAGGGTCAGAATGTGGTGAAGGGTAAATAAGCAGTGGTGTTGAGCCATGGGTCTTCCTGAAGGTTACGTGGTTACGTCTGTAGGAGTGGTCCCTCTGTGCTCTGCTGTCAGCACAAAATGGACTTTAGGGAAGTAGACAGGAAGAAGGCGTGGCAGATTATGGGTCTGCTTGTGGCTACCAACTTTGCTGCTGAACACCAGGGCAGGCTTGTGCACACGCAGCTGTCTGCTCCTGCTTGCAGGCTGGCTCATTGCACACCATTAGAGGAAAACTGTTCCTGGAAACCCGTCCCCCGGGAGAAGCGCATTCCATGAATCTCCTGCTTGGAGCCGGCCAATGTACATATCTCCATTCTGCTCCTCAGTTAGCACAAGCTGGCATAAGTCATTACTAGGATTGACCTGGGGCCCACACAAAGGTTAACAAAGAATCCATATGCTGAAGTGGTGCTGTACAGCAGCAGCTCTCTTGACCTGCAGGAAGTTACTCCAACCGCTGACTCCATTTCACAATATGTTATACTGAACTGAACAGTGGTTCCTTCCTTTGATAAACCTCCATGTTTGTGATTGCAGTGTCTGTGCTATCAGAGGAGGGGGGGAGTGGGGGCACATAAGCCTTTCCCAGGGAACAGTGAGGCAGATCTTTCTCACTGGAGGGGGGGTGTTAAGTCCTGCGTTCAGCTGCGTAAACTTCCAGAATCAAGTTATCGTCCAACATCCAAACAACCAGATGTGGGATTCACACTCTGGTTATTATTTATCCTTCATCACATTCTGACCATTTTTGAGTCCTGACTTTTCCTGACCTTTTAAGGAACTGCCATGAATTTGATCAAAGAAAGATCTCAGTTGCCCTGCAGTAACACTGAGAGACGGGAACAGACAGCTAGACAGACAAAAAGCACAAAACTGCTGATCAACACTTTTGCACCAGAAACCGAAGCCGCATGATACAGTTGTCTTTGCGTCAGACCATGACTACAATTTAATAGACCTAAATGAATGTCAGAATCGGACGTAAACAAGCAAAATCAATAGTCATTGCTGCACTTGTTTGATTACCTCTGCAGCCAAAGAGCTGCTGTGAGTGGGATTACTGAGTATTACAGTCAATATTTTCAGCGCTTCATCTGAGCCACAGGCTGCAGTTAATGCATGCTAGCACTGTATAATCCAGAGTTGTTTCTATGACTGGGTGATACATAAAACATGAGAGGCATGAGAAAGCCATGAGCTCTCACTATTCCGTTCCAGTCTCAACTGACTGAAACATCAGGATCTAAACATTTATATAATAAATACTTCTACATACTACACATGAATATGGTGTCTTGTGCTGAATCAGTGAAAAACTATTGTATACAATAATTATTTTCGACCCGGATTATTCATCTGAACAAATGATAAAAACTTTTTTGATGTGTGCAAACTTGTGCTGTAGATCACCGTTCATCACGTGGCCACAAATTAATGACCATAGTTGAACACTGAAATAATTAAAAGTCTAAAGCTCCACTAGTCATGCCGTACATATTGCAGCCCACAATACAAAAAATATGCATAAAATGAACATCCCATTATCAGTTTAGTTCTCTTTAGGGACCTTAATGATTGGACTAAACATTTAGAATGTCCTGAGCGTGGCACAAGAGCAAAGGTCAAGGAGGTCAAAAACAAATAAATTAGATTTCATCCTCTGGGGAGCATGACTATCTCACCAGCCACTAGCCAAGGAAATTTCATAATTTGACTTAACTTTCCAAGATAAATCAAGATCGTGAGGAAATTTTCCCTTCTATGCTAAGTTGGTATTCGACACATTTTGGGGATGACCAAAGTCATTAGGACTCACCCTCTTCAGTATCCATGCCAAATTATTAGTCATTTGACCATTCATTGTCAAAATAGACTAAAGTGTTGGACCAACATCACCATCTCCCTATAAGACATTGGCCACACATGCACATGCAACTAGGAAAGTACAAATCCTAAATTTGCACCATTATGTTATACGGAAAGTATTCAGACCCCTTTAAATTTTTCACTCTTTGTTTCATTGCAGCCATTTTCCAAAAATCAAAAAAGTTCATTTTATTTCTCAGTAATGTACACTCAGCACCCCATCTTGACAGAAAAAAACAGAAATGTAGAAATTTTTGCAAATTTATTAAAAAAGAAAAACTGAATTATCATATGGTCATAAGTATTCAGACCCTTTGCTCAGTATTTAGTAGAAGCACCCTTTTGATCTAATACAGCCATGAGTCATTTTGGGAAAGATGCAACAAGTTTTTCACATCTGGATTTGGGTATCCTCTGCCATTCCTCCTTGCAGATCCTCTCCAGTTCTGTCAGGTTGGATGGTAAACGTTGGTGGACAGCCATTTTCAGGTCTCTCCAGAGATGCTCAATTGGGTTTAAGTCAGGGCTCTGGCTGGGCCATTCAACAGCCAAGGAGTTGTTGTGAAGCCACTCCTTCGTCATTTTAGCGGTGTGCTTAGGGTCATTGTCTTGTTGGAAGGTAAACCTTCGGCCCAGTCTGAGGTCCAGAGCACTCTGGAAAAGGTTTTCGTCCAGGATATCCCTGTACTTGGCCGCATTCATCTTTCCCTCGATTGCAACCAGTCGTCCTGTCCCTGCAGCTGAAAAACACCCCCACAGCATGATGCTGCCACCACCATGCTTCACTGTTGAGACTGTATTGGACAGGTGATGAGCAGTGCCTGGTGTTTTCCACACATACCGCTTAGAATTAAGGCCAAAAAGTTCTATCTTGGTCTCATCAGACCAGAGGATCTTATTTATCACCATCTTGGAGTCCTTCAGGTGTTTTTTAGCAAACTCCATGTGGGCTTTCATGTGTCTTGCACTGAGGAGAGGCTTCCGTCGGGCCACTCTGCCATAAAGCCCCGACTGGTGGATTGCTGCAGTGATGGTTGACTTACTACAACTTTCTCCCATCTCCTGACTGCATCTCTGGAGCTCAGCCACAGTGACCTTTGGGTTCTTCTTTACCTCTCTCACCAAGGCTCTTCTCCCCCGATAGCTCAGTTTGGCCAGATGGCCAGCTCTAGGAAGGGTTCTGGTCGTCCCAAACGTCTTCCATTTGAGGATTATGGAGGCCACTGTGCAGCAGAAATTTTTTTGTAACCTTGGCCAGATCTGTGCCTTGCCACAATTCTGTCTCTGAGCTCTTCAGGCAGTTCCTTTGACCTCATGATTCTCATTTGCTCTGACATGCACTGTGAGCTGTAAGGTCTTATATAGACAGGTGTGTGGCTTTCCTAATCAAGTCCATTCAGTATAATCAAACACAGCTGGACTCAAATGAAGGTGTAGAACCATCTCAAGGATGATCAGAAGAAACAGAAACAGCACCTGAGTTAAATATGAGTGTCACGGCAAAGAGAGAAATAAAATGAACTTTTTTGATTTTTGGAAAATGGCTGCAATGAAACAAAGAGTGAAAAATTTAAAGGGGTCTGAATACTTTCCGTACCCACTGTATATACAATCAAAATGAGAAAAATAACCAGTTGCATAGAGGCCCCATTCTGAGGCAACAGCAGAAATTGATCTCATTCACCTGTGAATAATTACAATATTCTGACAACTCAAACACCAGGGGTGATGTTAACAGACTCCACTTTAATTCTCTTAGAAGACCTGCATGAAGTGTGTGAATACTTCACAACCAATTTTTAAAAAACTTAATTACTAAATTAAAAACGAATTAAATTGTAATACCTATCATCGTGTTTATATATATCATTACATGACAAAGATCTGTGACATGGAAAATAAGCATGAGACAGAGAGTCAGTGAGGTTCTCATCTCCTCATTGATTGTCCTGGGTGTGTTACAGACCATGAAAGCCCAAGTCAAGCACATCTAATCCTGCTGATCAAAGCAGCATTGTCATTATCTATGGGTTCTTGCCTATGACTGTAATTACTACTGTCTTGGATGGTTTGAAACACAGATGGTGGTGGGAGACTAAGCTAACGGCAGTAGGGTAATTGGTGGGGGCTGCGGGAGCTGACAAATCTTTTAAGACCTGAGCTGACTGAGGCTAAACACTCGAATCTAGTCAGTCGCTGGTCAGTACTATCTACTGTAGCTTCCTCATGTTAGAGAATTGTTGTCAAGAAAACCTATTCAGCTGTGTCACAATTATAGATGTGAATGTAGTCTGATGGACCTGAAATGAAATTCAAGGATGTGAAATACAGTTAATCACAAAAGGCCAATGACTATTGAATCACTGAATCCCATGAAGTTATGTCCTCTTGGTGTTCATTAACCTTTTCAAGCTCGCCAAGCTCAGCCATCATTTGAGCATATGTTGTGCATCCAGGAATCACTCAAAGCCAAGAAATTTAGGGATCCCGTTATTATTCTGGATTTGAATACAAGCTCCCATCCTGAGCTGCATGCACATGTCCAATAAGTTTCACCTGAGCCTCTAGGTCTGTATGTTTTTGCTGAGGTTTGCACAAATAAATTCCCTTAAAAACAAACCATTTCCTCACACTTACAGGATGTAGGGTTTGGCTGACGTAATACAGAAACTCCCTGCAGCGACATGTGTACCTTGTTGATTCTGCATGAAGCGCATAAAACTTCATAAAAGCGATCATGAAAGGGATTTGTGATAGTCACACATAATCATCCCTTCCCTGTTTTAAAGTTAAAACTAGTAGGCTAAATGAAGCTGAGGACACAGTCAGTTCTTTACTTCTTAAAGCTCAGTTCATTCTTGACCTTGGAAACAACAGATGAGAAAACAATCTTGACACAAGGTCGATTTACTTTTGACCTTTTCACATGGTCTTCATCAGGGAATTGAGTTTGTTTTTTTCCGAGGTCAAGAATGAACTGTCAAGCTCTACTTCTGAGTTCACATGCAAGTTTCGCCATCTGCATTTTAATTTCAATCGAGTAAACTCATTTTTTATTTCTTTAAGCTGAGCTTTTTCCAACACTCCAACTTCAAGCATCGATGTTTTAATTGGCATCTGAAATCATGCATCGTCCAGGGGTGAACGCCTCAACTCTTACATTTGTGGATGCAGGTGTGGAGGAGCTGTGCAATCACTGCATGGAAATGATGAAAAAAGAAAATGTCAGGTTTCACACAAGCAATGACGGATGACGGGGCTGGGTGAGACAAAACCAAGTTATTTTTTGCTATGTAAAGATTTACAGTACAGGCATTTCAAGAGGATACTTTCCCTGCAGTGTTGTTTTACTGTTGCTGACCTACATACAACATTGCCATGTCAGCCCTCAAAATCAGTTGCCCATATATCCTCCAGACAGGAGACTACCATAGAACATAGCAACAGAAACTCTCCTCCCACCTCTCTCCCCTCCCTCCCTCTGGAGCTATGCAGGCCAGGCTCTATAGCTCCAGCCTCACTTGGCTCCGGGATTGGGGGAAGGGACTGAGTTAACATATGGCTTATTGTGCATAGTAGGCTATGCTTTCAGCTCATCATCAACATTGGCTCTCCTCCTCCTGGCGCAAAACTG